TTGTCCATTTCCTCTAGGTTTTCAAATTTGTTAGAGTACTATTTTTCATAGTATTCTGTTATGATTCTTTTAATTTCAGTTGAGTTTGTTGTGATATCACCCATCTCATTTCTTATATGGGTTATTTTCTTCCTCTCCTGTTTTCCTTTTGTCAGTTTGGCCAATGGTTGGTTTATCAAGTTTGTTGAGCTTTTCAAAGAACAAGCTTTTTGTCTTGGTAGCTCTTTCAATTGTTTTTCTATTCTCTATTTCATTTATTTCTGCTCTAATTATGATTATTGCCTTGCTTCAGGCGCCTGAGGGCTTCTTTTGCTACTCTCTTCCTACTTGTTCGAATTGTAGGGTTAATGTTTTGACTATAGCCCTTTCTTCTTTTTGAAGATGTGCATTTGTTGTTATAAGCTGCCCTCTGAGTACTGCTTTTGCTGTGTCCCAAAGGTTCTGGGAGGATATGTTTTCATTCTCGTTTGATTCTATGAATTACTTTATTCCATCCTTAATTTCTTCTGTAACCCAGTAGTTTCCATGTGTTTGATTTTTTTTTTCCTTGCTTTTTGTGTTGTTGATTTCTACTTTTATGGCTTTATGGCCAGAAAAGATGCTTTGTAATATTTTGCTATTTGGGATTTTGTTAAGGCTTGCTTTATGGCCTAATATGTGGTCTATTCTGGAGAATGTTCCATGTGCATCGCAAAAGAAAGTATACTTGGCTGCTGTTGGGTGGAGTCTTCGGTATATGTCTATGAGACCAAGTTAGTTGATTGTAGCATTTAGCTCTTCTATGTCTTTGTTGAGCTTCTTTCTGGATGTTCTGTCCTTCACCGAAAGTGGCACATTGAAGTCTCCTACTACTATTGTGGAGCTGTCTATCTCTCTTTTCAGTGCTGTTAGAGTTTGTTTTATGTATTTTGGAGCACTGTCATTGGATATGTAAATATTTATTACACTTATGTCCTCCTGGTGTATTGACCCTTTGATCATTATATAGTGTGCTTCCTTATCCTTTGTGGTGGATTTTACTTTAAAGTCTATTTTGTCAGAGATTAATATTGCCACTCCTGCTCTTTTTTGAGTGTTGTTTGCTGGAAACATTTTTTTCCATCCTTTGAGTTTTAGCATGTTTGTGTCTTTAAGTCTAAGGTGTGTCTTTTATAGGCAGCATATAGACGAATCATGCTTTTTTATCCAATCTGCCACTCTTTGTCTCTTTGTTGGTGCATTTAGTCATTTACATTGATATGTATGAGATTAGTGCTGTCATTTTGATGTCTCTTTTTGTGTGTTGTTCACAGTTTCTTTGTTCCCCTTAATTTTCTGTGAATTGTTTTTCTTTATGTATTTTCTTTTCATCTTTTTCATTGTTGTTGATTTTGTGTTTGCTGAGGCTTTATATTTTTCTAGTTTTTATTTTGGTTTGTAGGTTTGTTAGTTTCCTTTATGGTTACCTTAATATTTACCCCTATTTTTCTAAGTTTATACCAGTTTTTATTTCTTTATATCACCTTGACTTCCCATCCATATGAAAAATCTATGTCTACATTTTTTAAGTCCCTTTTTTTGTTTTAATGTTGTCCTTTTTTTCATATTGGTATCTCTGTTTCCCTATTTTCAATGTTTTAGCTTTGATGTATTTTTGTGACTTCCCTATCTGAGTTGATATCTGGTTGCTCTGTCCTGTGTTGTTAGCTGATGTTATTGATTTTCTAACTGATGGACTCCTTTTAGTATTTCTTGTAATTTTGTTTGGTTTTTGAAAATTCCCTAAACTTCTGTTTATCTGGAAATGTCTTAATTTTGCCATCTTATCTGAGAGACAGTTTTGCTGGATATATAATTTTTGGCTGGCAGTTGTTTTCCTTTAAGGCTTTCTATCTGTCATCCCATTGCCTTCTTGCCTGCATGGTTTCTGCTGAGTAGTGTGAGCTTATTCTAATTGACTGTCCTTTGTAGATGACTTTTCTTTGTGATGTGTAGAGCTAAGATGAGTAGGGGAAAGAGGAGAGAGAGGAGAGAGAAACAGGGGCCCAAAACAAAGAAACAAAAAAAGAGTGCTAAGGGAGCTTGCAGTTGGAGTGGAGAGATGAGAAACAGAGAAATGGAGAAAAACAAAAAGAAAAAAATAAAAAGGGTAAAATAAATAAAAATTAGAAAAAGAAAAGCCCCCAGGGATCCCACTGGTGCAGCTGCAAAGACTGGGGATGGAGCTCCCAGGCCCCCAAGTACAATCTGGCTAGAAGGGGTAGAGGTGACACACAGCGCCAGGTATTCAGGAGTGCCAGGAAGAGAAGGTAAGTACAGAGAGACGAGAAACCGAGAGATGAAGAAGTAGAAAAAGGAAAAAAGAGAGAAAAGAAAACAAAAAGGAAAAAAGAAATGCACCTAGGGATCCTGCCATGCAGCTGCACAGACTGGGGAAGTAGTTCCCAAGCCGTGCAGTACAGCACAGATAGAAGGGTCTCCCAAGCCAAGGAAAGAAAAAAGGAAACAAACAAATAAACCAGAACAAATCAAAACAAACAAACAAAAAGAAGCCCTGGGGTACCCACCAGCGTGGTGGCACAGGCCAGAAAGCAGTTCCATAGTCAAGTGGTGGTTCACAGCCTTTCAAAAAGAAGCAAAGATGGCACATGGAGCCAGGTATTTGAGAGAAAGGAGGTGGAGGTGGTGACAGGTATAGAAGAAACCAAAAGAAGCGGAAAAAAGCAACACCAACAACAAACAGATGGCACTCAGGGAGCCGGCTACTGTGGGCAAGCAGCACAGGGCTGAAGCTGGTGCCTCCCAGCCAAGAGACTGTGGCCACAGGAAGCAGAGGAGGCCAAGCGGGAGTGAAGAAGGGTCGGGGGTGGGAAAGCATATATTGTTGGTTACCAGTTTTTCTGTCTCCTGCTGGGAGCTCTGTGAAGCTGCTGTCCCATACTCCCTGTTGACCAGTCTCTGACAGGAGTCCAAGATGGCAAATCTATGCTGCGTTAGCTGATACGGGACTTGCACTCATAAATCTCCTCGCTCTCTGTTCTCTGTCAGTTTCTTAATTCATTTGGTGCTTGGCTGAGTTCTTTATCTCTTCATTTGATGCTTAGGGTTCCAGGATTGACATTTGTCTCTGTTTGACTTAATTTTTTGGGTCTTTGCTATGGAGGGACGGTCTGGTGCTTCTGTGTATAATGCCATGTTGCCCAGAAGTCCTGTATGTACTTCTATTTCTGGGCTCCCAAGTGCATTCCCTGGTTATATTTATCTCTCCTGGTCCCCTAACCCACACTTTCTTAGCTACTATCACTTTATAATGAACTTTGATATATGTCAGGGCAATTCCTTCTACCTTGTTATTTTTCTTCAAAAGTGTCTTAGCTATTTTTGGCTGTTTGCTTTTCTACCAAAAAACAACAACAACAAAAAACCCAATCCCATTGCCATTGAGTCAATTTCGACTTATAGCAGCCCTATAGTTTAAATCAGCTTGTCAAATTCCACCAAAATCCTTTTGCCATTTTAATCAGGACTTTGGTAGCTCTGTAGATTACGTTGTGGAGAATTGCTCCCCTTAAAATCTTCAGTCATAAAACGAAATTTTCTAATTTTTTTGTTGGCATATAGAAATACAATTGATTTTTTATATTGATTTTTATATTCAGCAAGTTTATTAAACTCTCTTGTTATTGGTTTATATATGTTTACACACACAGGCACAATAATAGAACATAAGAACCATTGCCCTTTTTTCATTTCTAATACTAAGGATTTTTTAATTTCTTTTTCTTGTATTGTTACACTTTCTAGAACTTCCAATACAATGTTGAATAGAAGTGATGATAGTGGATATTATTGCTTATTTCTAATCTCAGAGTGAAATCTTTCAATGTTTTACTATAAACATGATGTTTGTTCTAAGTAATTTATAGACACTCTTTATCCTCTTAAAGCAGCTCTCTTCTATTACTCATCTGCCAAGAGTTTTAAGATGAATAGATGTTGGATTTTATCAATCTTTGGACCCACTGTGATGATCATATGTCTTTTATCGTTTATACTGTTAAGTACTGAATTAACTTATTCTCTAATGCTAAAGCAAGCTCTTATTCTTTAGATATACCTTACTTGGTCATGTATATTATACTTTTCATACATTGATGAATTCAGTTCACTAATATTTTATTTAGAAATCTTGTATTTATGTTCATGAATGAGATTGACTTCTAACTTTTCCTTATTCTACTCTCCTTATCAGGTTTTTATATCAAGGTTATGCTTATTTTGTAAAATGTAGTTTGATGTAAGTTATTTTCTTATGTCCATTTTTGTTTTACTCTTAGGTAATTTAGAAATTTATGTCAATTCCAAATGAACAAATTTTCCTAGATATCTTTTGGTTATTTATTTCAGGCTTAATTGCATTGTAGTCAGATAACAAAGCCTGAATGATTTCAATTCTTTGAAAGTGTCGATTGGCTTTATGGTCTAGTAGATAGTCAATTTTTGCTTACTGTTCCATGTATGCTTGGAAATAAATTATTTTCTGCAGTTGCCGGCTCCAGTGTTCTATGTACTCCTATTAGGTTAAGTTTGTTTTACGTTCTTCAAATCCTCTGTACACTTACTGAATGTTCGCTTGCTTCTTCTATCAGTTTGTGAGAGACCTATTTAAATTTCTTCTTCTGATAGTGGATTTGTCAATTTCTCTCTGTAGTTCTGTAAATTTGCTTAATCTATTTTGAAATGATGTGATTAGCCTCATGCAAATTTAATTTTCTAATCTCTATTTGAACAGTTCTGGTTTATAAGCAAAGACGGCATTGGATTTCTCTATGGCCATGTTCCTGCTATTGAAGTAATTTAGACAGCCTGCTGTAGAATGCAACACTTGCAGACTTCTCTCTTTATGCTGCAAAGTCAGTGTCTAGGCAGGTATCTAACCCTGTCTCTCAACCACTTACATAGAATCACATTGCCTACTGTTGGGGCTGAATCATTGATTCTGGACAGAACTATTACCTTACCAGTTCCTCTTGGGTTTCAACCTGAACAAGGTCAGCACCTTGTGTGTCACAAAATCTCTGGCTGGATGTCCAGTTTCTGGTGTCATGAGAAAAATAAAAACACTTTTTTTGGAACCCAATACAGCTGTCTGGGCATGCAGTTTCAAGACATCCTGACAGCTTCTGATGGAATTTAGCTGTAGTTACTGAAAATAAAAAGAACTTAATTTTATATTGTGCTATATAAATTACCAAGTACTATCTAATATATTTCCTAATACCCCTATAAGGTATGAAAGATATTATCCTCATTTTTCAAATTAGAACTATAATGTTAAAAATTGTTGCATACATTACACAGTAAATGGCACATCTGGGATTCAAACTAATGTCTTCAGTAGTGGATAAGTTGAAGGCATTCTTCATGCCTCAAACTCTGAGTCATATATCTGTCTACTTGGATTGGAACAATGTTACTCTTCCTTAAAATGCCAGATACATCAATAACAACATCCGATCAGCCTTGGAGAACACGTAGTACTAGGTGGTCTAGAGGCCTTGGTAAATAAATCAGTGGAAGGGCATAGAAAATGTCTGTGAGTTAAGTTTCTTGAAGTGTAGTGATCTGGGGTATGTCTGGATAGTCCCATGAAGATGAAAGAAGTCATTGTAACTTTATGCTTCTTCTATTTAGTGAGTATCTGGATTTTGGAGATGGAAATTCTCCACTTGCACTGGCTTTTCTGACCTAATTTGCATATAATCAGGTGCAATACTGTCTTCAGGGGGGATCCAGAGCAAAGAAAGTATCTCCTGATGGCCCTCACTGAGCTGCTAGCAGTTGACTGTTCAGCTTCTAGGATCACTTCTTCCTCCTAACTCAACAGCTCTGAAAATGTCTGGGACAGGCCAGGAAGCTTGGTCCAAAAATCAAAAAACCTGTTGCCGTATCATCAAATCTGACTCATAGTGACCCTATAGGACAGAGTAGAACTGCCCTCTAGGGTTTCCAAGGAGTGGCTGGTGGATTCAAACTGCTGACCTTTTGGTTATCAGTCAAATGCTTAAATTTCAATAGCATAATTTCCATGGAGGCCTCTTAGGCTTGGCTCTTTTGAGGAACAATCACTGGTGTCATCCAAATGTCTAACCGCTTAGCACCATAGAAATATGTATTCTAAGGCACTCATCACAAGCCAGATACCAAATTATACTTATAAGAGAAAGAATGTAATTTCTGGGACTGAAGGCAGATTGATCTTCTCCAAATCTGTGCACACCTATTGTGCTATCATTGCTCCTACTTCAACCAGTTTAAAGACTAGGGCCAGGCTAGAAGATGATTCTGCAGGTATTGACTCCAAACAAGGAATCTTTTCCAGTTAAAGTGCTAGTTGAAAGGAAGAGAATGGGTAATGTAGGAGGGGTAGTGAAGTAAGGTCGTTGTAAGTACCAGTAAGTACCCAGTACCAATTAAGTTCTTATGATTATTTAAAGAAATGAGGAGTCATAGGTTTAAATTGTATTTCAGAATACATTTTCTCGATTAATATTAAAGTATTTACAGAATGCAAAAAAAGTCTCCTTCCAGTTTTTTCTTTCTTGAATAGGTTAATTAAAAAATCTACATCCTTAACAATTTGATTTCATCAGTGTATAAAAGATATTATTTGTGATTATAGAATGGTGAGGAATAACCAACTAGTGTGGAATCATAAAAAGATTAGAAAAGAAATGAAAACCATATAGAAAAACATGGAATATTCCAAGTATTATTGACTCTAAGATTTGTAAGCAGCATGTAAAGGGTCACTATGGTACTATTTGGATGCAGCAGCAGGGCGTGGATTATTACCAGGTTGGGTGGGGGAGGGGAAGGAGTTCTTCTATAGTTTTCTAGATCACAGTTTGGTCTAAGTTACATGCACTGCAAGCACGTGTTGAGCTATAAAGGGGTCTTGTAGCTAAGTTGCTTCTAGGGTATGCTCCTTAAGGAGGAATTTGTTATATCTGCCAGGCTGGTTATGTCTAACAGAAAATAAGGGCTGGAACATGCTAGAGTAATTGGAAGAGAAGACCATGATGCCTCCGTGCCTGCGGTGTTAAACAGCCACTTAGTAGCTTTGATCCTTTTTTTTTTTTTTTAAACCATCTGAGCTGCTTTTCTTCACCCAGCTATGTGTGTTGTGGAGGTGAAATCAAATCTTTGTCCCTAGCTATGACAAATTGGACAAAAGACACATACCAGATGACTAACATAGGGCCAAATCCAAACAAATCTCCCCTCTTCAGATTTGTTTTGCAACATTCAAGTGTACATAGAGAAAGTAATGAGGTTATCACGCTACTCAGGGTTTTGTCCAGGGTGATCCTGAAAAAATATCACTCTGAAAAACCTTTAAACCCAGGATGACCATGATGAGTTAATTATTATTTTTTCTATCTTACCTTCACCTGTAATCATATAATATTCCCACTAAGGATAATAATGTTGGTGAAGATGCTGATTACTGTAATAAAAATAGCAGCAAAGTTTTTGAAAGCTTACTTTGTATCAGGTGTGATCTAGTAATTTATATGCATCAAATTATTTAATCCTAATAGCATATTCAATTTATAAATATTTATTCCATTACCTCTCCCCTATAGAGCTGAGGGTAAGTTCTGTGCCGCTTGTACACTACTGGCCTTTTACAATGTAGATACAAAACAAAACAAAAAACAGCCTTTTCGTTTTTCAATTAAAGGATGCTGTATAATCTCTTATTGACACCAGGGGGCAGAGTCACAAATTTCGGAAATAATAAATACATACAAGCAACATTAATTAACAAATTTATTCCAGAAAAAGAGAAGCACTTTTATAAATTTGTTTGAAAACAGAGTTGCTTAAAAAGGGAGTAAATTCTAGTGGTTAGCAGCACACTGAATTAAAAAAACTGGGTCAAAACCCTGTGTGTGCAACATTTAGTATATGTGACTTTGGGACCATTATTCACCCAGTTCAGATTTTCATCAAATCCCATTGCGTTATGGCTTCATGTGATTTTAGAAAATGTTGACTTTTTTAACATACTCATAGCTAAAATACTGTATTTTATCTAAAAATAAATTGAGTTTTCTGATAATAACATTCACTAAATATTTATGATGCAACAAACACTGTCCAAATCCTATCATACACTAAATTCATTTAATCGTCATAACAACCCTGAATGAACTGAAGCACAGAGAGATTACAAGAGATGCCCAAGGTTACAAAGCTTCAAAGCTTCATCAGTAAAAGAGCTGAAATTCAAACCCAAGCAGTCTGAATTCAGAATCTGTACTCAAATCTATGCTCTTAAACGCTATACTCTAACTGATCTATCATGTGCCTGGCAATTTACCCACCGCTGTTGAGTCAATTCTGACTCGTAGGGAACCCATAGGGTTTCCAAGGCTGTACATCTCTATGGAAGCAGACTGCCACATCTTACTCCCGTGGAGTCGCTGGTGGTTTTGAACCACCAACCTTTCAGTTAATAGTCAATTGCTTTAAACATTGCACCACCAGGGATCTCAACTAGGTGACGTAAGAGGAATTTAAAAAATGATGAACACGTGTATCTTTATGTGTGGTAAGAATGAGAAAGGAAATAAAAATGTCAGACATCATCATATATTCAACTCACTTAAGTCATGGATTTTTTAAAATCACTCAAGGGTATATATATTTTTAATAATTCTGCTAATACCAAGGCTTAGCAAGGAGTCTGACTGAGTGTGAATTATGTGCCTATCGCTACCTCTTGGGCAGGGTAAACCTGCCTAGGCTATGCCTCTACAACAGCGCTCCCCTGAAAGAACTGTATGTTGTTAATCCGATAAACTATTCTTGTATCACAGAAATTCTTTGCAATAATAAGGAAAAATAGTTGCAGGCAGTGCATATTTGCATATCTTCCTCATAAGCACCCCCACTAAGTTTAAAACATGTAAGGAAAATCTTGAAGGATATACTCAATTAGTGAGATTATGAGTGATTTTTAACTTCTTATTTATACTTCTTTTATTTTCTGAACATTTTAAACAAGGAGCATAGTATTCAGAATCAATGTTCATAAGCTGTTGATCTGATATCCGTTTCTGAAAGTACTTTGTACTAAAGATTTTGTCCTCTATATAATAGAATGTAATGAAAGAAGGAAAGAGAAAAGATTCCATGATCACTGGGTGATAAATTACTGAAGGTAGCTTTTCCTCATTTCATAAAGAAGGTCTTTTTTTCTCCTGGGAATCTAGGTAAAGTTTAAATAATATTAAAATTACACGTGGTTTGTGGAAGAGAGTGCAAGTTGTCCACCAAAATTTATTTTCTTCTTGCATAATAATTGAGTAGAAGCTGAGCAAATTCACATTTTCCAGGCTCCTTTGCATTTAGATATGGCTTTGTGACTAAGTTTCCACACATGATACTTGAGCGGAAGGGATGCGTGTCACTTTCTGTTCTGGACCTAAAACATTATGCAGGCCTCTTCCATGAATTCTTTCTTTTTCCTGCAGGAAACCTGGGTTTCACAGTAACATCCTGTAGAAGCCAATGATGTGCTAGGAATGGAGCACAGCAGTCCGCAAAGACCTCTTCACTCATCTCAGGATTAATGAGGGGTAAAGAAAAGTCTGTTTTGTAAACCAACATATTTTTGTCCCCTTTTCTTTTTCACATCATCTCAGCCTTTATCTTAATGAATATATTCTTTGAAAAAATACATATTGAATTCTTGGCCAGTTTTCAAGCATGAAAACAATTTCATAAATTATACATGTAGGTTTATACAGCTCTGTTTTGATATGCCCTCTACTGGAAAATGGGTTCTATCTTTTGCAGACCCTGGTTACATTTGCAGAATATGGCCCCTATCTCACACAATTAAATTTTTGGATCCCACATACAGGGTTATGAGAGTTTAACTCTACTGGTGAAATAAAAGAAGTATATTAGGAACTGTAAAGAGCAAGAAAACTTCCAAGAAGCCTTATCTTCTTTGGTAAACGAATTTTCTAGATGAACAAAGATTACAATTCACTTACCTACCAAACCAATAATCGTTCCAAACACCATGATCTGACACATGAGTAGGGAGAAAGACAAGACACGATTCAAGGTCGCCTTGTTAGAATTCTTTTTTGAAGATATATAACCTGGAAAAATTATTGAAAACATTTTTTAAATTAAATTAAACAGCATTCTACTAGAAGCATTAACAACCAAAATGTTCCTTCCATTTAATTTTTTCCCTTTTCACTGTTGTTGTTGCAAATGTTGTTGAGTTGGTTCCAACTCATAGCAACCCTAAGTACAAAAGAACCAAACACAGCCTGGTCCTCCTGTACCAGCCTCATAATCGTTGTTATGCTTAAATCCACTGTTGCAGCCACTGTGTCAATTCATCTTGTTAAGGGTCCTCCTCTTATTCACTGAGCTTCTTGAGCCCAAGTAGTGCAGTGGTTAAAAGCTCAGGCTGCTAACCAAAAGTTGACAGTCCTAATCCACCAGCCACTCCTTGGAAACCCTATGTGGCAGACCCACTGTGTCTTACAGGGTAGCTATGAGTCAGAATCCACTCGACAGCAATAGGCTTGGCTTGGGCTACTTTACCAAGCATGATGTCCTTCTCCAGGGACTGGTCCCTCCTGATAACATGTTCAAAGTATATGAGAAGTCTTGCCATCCTTGCTTGTAAGGAGAATTTTGGCTGTACTTCTTCCAAGACAGATTTGTTCATTCTTCTGGCAGTCCACGGTACTTTAAATATTCTTCACCAACATCATAATTCAAAGGCATCGATTTTTCTTTGTGCTTCTCTATTTATTGTCCAGCTTTCACATGCATATGAGACAATTTGAAAACACTGTGGCTTTAGTCTGGCACACCTTAGTCCTCAAAGTGACATCTTTGCTTTTTTAACACTTTAAAGAGGTCTTTTGCAGCAGATTTGCCCAATACAATATGTCATTTTATTTCTTGATTGCTGCTTCCATGGGCATTGATTGTGAATCCAAGTAAAATGAAATCCTTGACAACTTCAATCTTTTCTCCATTTATCGTGATGTTGTTTATTGGTCCAGTTGTGATGATTTTTGTTTTCTTTATGTTGAGGTGTAATCCATACTGAAGGCTGTAGTCTTTGATCTTCATCAGTAAGTGCTTCAAGTCCTCTTCACTTTCAGCAAGCAAGGTTGTGTCATCTGCATAAGCAGGTTGTTAATGAGTCTTCTTCCAATCCTGATGCCATGTTCTTCTTCATATAGTCCAGCTCCTCGGATTACTTGCTCAGCATACAGATTCAATAAATATGGTGAAAGATACAACCCTGACACACAACTTTCCTGATTTTAAACCACACAGTATCCTCGTGTTCTGTTAGAAGGATTGCCTCTTAGTCTATCTACAGATTCCGCATAAGCACAATTAAGTGTTCTGAAATTTTCATTCTTCGCAACATTACCCATAATTTGTTATGATCCACACAGTAGAATGCCTTTGCATAGTCAATAAAACACAGGTAAACATCTTTCTGGTATTCTCTACTTTCAGCCAAGATCCATCTGACATCAGCAACGATATATATCCCTTCTTTCACCTCCTCTTTTGAATCTACTTGAATTTCCGGCAGTTCCTTGTTGATGTACTGCTGCATCTGCTTTTGAATCATCTTCAGCAAAATTTTATTTTTGTGTGATACTAATGACATTGTATGATAATTTTCACATTCTTTTGGATCACCTTCCTTTGGAATGGGCGCAAATATAGATCTCTTCCAGTCAGTTGCCCAGGTAGCTGTCTTCCAAATTTCTTGGCATAGACAAGTAAGCATCTCCAACACTGCATGGGTTTGTTGAAACATCTCAATTGGTATTCTGTTAATTTTTGAAGCCTTGTTTTTCGCCAATGCCTCCAGTGCAGCTTGTACTTCTTCCTTCAGTATCGTCAGTTCTTGATCATATGCTACCTCCTGAAATGGTTAAACGTCAACCAATAGTTTTTGACACAGTGATTCTGTGTATTTCTTCCATCTTCTATTGATGTTTCCTGTGTGTTTAATACTGCCCCTGTAGAATCCTTCAATATTGCAACTTGAGGCTTGAATGTTTTCTTCAGTTCTTTCAGCTTGAGAAGTGCTGAGTGTGTTCTTCAGTTTAGGTTTTTTAACTCTAGGTCTTTGTATATTTCATTACAATACTTTACTTTTTTTTCTCTTCTCAAGCTTCCCTTTGAAATATTCTGTTCAGCTCTTTTACTTCATCACTTCTTCTTTCACTTTAGCTACTCTGCTTCAAGAGCAAGTTTCAGAGTCTCTTCTAACATCCATTTTGGTCTTTGCTTTCTTTCCTGTCTTCTTAATGACCTCTTGCTTGAATTTCTGGTAGTTCCCTGTTGATGTACCGCTGCAACTGCTTTTGAGTGATTTTCAGCAAAGTTTTACTTGTGTGTGATATTAATGATATTTTTCGATAATCTCTGCATTCGAGTGGATCGCATTTCTTTGGAATGGGTACAAATATGGATCTCTTCCGGTCATTTGGCGAGGTAGCTGTCTTCCAGATTTCTTGGCATAGACAAGTGAACGCTTCCAGTGTTGTTGAAACATTTCAATTGATATTCTGTCAATTCCTGGAGCCTTGCTTTTCACCAATGCCTTCAGTGCAGCTTGGGCCACTTCCTTCAGTACCATTTGTTCTTGATCATATGCTACCTCATGAAACGGTTGACCATCGACCAATTCTTTTTGGGATAGTGACAGTGTATTCCTTTCATCTTTTGGTGCTCCCTGCGTCGTTTAATATTTTTCCTGTAGAATCCTTCAATATTGCAACTCTAGGCTTGAATGTTTTCTTCAGTTCTTTCAGCTTGAGAAATGCCAAGTGTGTTATTCCCTTTTGATTTCCTAACTCCAGGTCTTTGCACATGTCATTATAATACTTAGTCTGCTCAAGCCACCCTTAGAAATCTTCTGTTCAGCTCTTTTACTTCATCATTTCTTCTGTTTGCTTTAGCCACTTGATGTTCAAGAGCAAGTATCAGAGTCTCTTCTGGCATTAATCTTGCTCTTTTCTTCCTTCCCTGTATTTTTAATGACCTCTTGCTTTCTTCATGTATGATGTCCTTGATGTCATTTCACAACTCGTCTGGTCTTTGATCATTAGGGTTCAATGCATCAGATTTATTCTTGAGATGGTCTCTAAATTCAGGTGGAATATATTCGCGGTCATACTTTAACTCTCATGAACTTATTTTAATTTTCTTTCGCTTCAGCTTGAACTTGCATATGAGGAATTGATGGTCTGTTTCACAGTCTGCCCTTGGCCTTGTTCTGACTGATGATGTTGAGCTTTTCCATGAACTCTTTCCACAGTTGTTGTCAATTTGATTTCAGCATATTCCATCTGGTTTGGTCCACTTGTATAGTGGCTGTTTATGTTGGACAAAAAACCTTTTTTCTGCAATGAAGAAGTCGTTGGTCTTGCAAAATTCCGTCATGTGATCTCTAGCATCATTTCTCTCACCAAGCCATATTTTCCAACTACTGTTCCTTCTTGCTTCCAGCTTTCGAATTCCTGTCATTTTTTAAAATTTGCTATTCTCTGTCCAGATTTTAATCTTTGACAGAAGTTAAAATTGATCTTGAACGTGCAAAACCCGGAAAGTAGTCTTGCCAAAAAAATTAAATATGAATGTGATTAAACCTCCAGATACATCTACCAATTTACAGATAACATAGAGGAGAGAATCATGTCAAATTGAACTGCAGAAGTGATCAACAAAATTCAGATTGTTCGAAACTTTACAGAACAAATGAACCCTATTCTTAAAAAAAAAAGAAAAAAATTAAAGGAAATTTAAAAAATTGAGATCAAATGGTAATATACAGATTGAAAGACATCTATGAAAAAAAAATTTTTAAGCCCAAACTAAATTGAGACAGCAATGATCATAAATGTCAAATTATTGTTATTCTTGACAGGAAGATATGGGGAATGGAAGAGAATACTTGGAGGGGTTCTTAGATGGATGGCAAGTATCTTTCTTCTGACAAAGAGAAATTGTGTTTTCTTTAGAATACTTCATTAAAATATATATTTATTTTGCATGATTTTTTGTGTTTATGTTAAAACTCAAAACATTTTTGGTTATTAAAACCAAAGTTACTGTAGACATTCTCCTCTGACACTTCTCTTGCCAGCAGTTCACACTCTTAGTTAATTCATCTAGACATATTCTTGAGTAGACAGGCCTTATTTTCTCCAACATTCCCTCTTGATGTGCAAGGGCTTTCTCTTATATATGGCCTTTCTGACCTTGGGTTTGTAATTATGCCAGAAATGATTCGTTAGGCCCAGTCTGCCCTGTGGTTGTTCTATTTTACGCACCTTGCAGGAATTTGCCAATTGGAATAGTGCCTTGAAAATCCACCCAATAGAACTGAGTGGCTTGCATTCCACGGAGAGGATTGGTTGGTTCATGGTCCTACAGAGAGGGCCATGCCTTGAAATTACAAGGAGTTTGCTTATTTAGGCAGCCAAGCCCACAGAGGGGGAGAGAGAGGAGGAGGAGTGAACCTCCTAAAAGAGTTGTAATACTAGTCAAGAGCTGTAACACTGAAGACAGCAAAAGGTCTGGGAGGGGCCTGTGGCAGAGCAGCCCCTTTGGGGCAAAGCCAGAGGTGATAGCAGAAAGTCCTTGGTAGGAGAGTAGCAGCTGAGCAAGCTGTTAAACTGGTTATGAGCCAGTTATGCAGTGGAAAGGCTGAAGGCAGGGAGGCCAAAAGGCAGGGAGGCCAAAGGCAGAGAGGCGTGCATAGCTGAGAGGGAGCGTGCACGGTTGTGAGGGGGTAAACACGGCCGAGACTGGGTGTGCACAGTCAAGAGGCTGGGTACACAGCAAAGACGGGCCCTTGCACAGCTCAGAAGGGCCTGCTAATGTCAGAGAGAAGCTGTCCTGATTGGAAGCGGTTCTTATTGACAAACTGCACCCCATCTCCTGAGTTGTATCCTAGCTCTGGTCTGAGATGCAGGACAGGAAATCCTAACACAAGGAGAGAATATGGAAATATCCCATTTTCTCTCACTCTCTTGTTCTCTGTCTCTTTTCCATTCTCCTGTACCCCAATCCATCAGGCAATCTCACGATGGCAGTGTCAGTAACAGCTATAGGAACACACAATAGCACGTATCTATATATATATCAATATACTTCATAAATTTAAACAAGATTCAGAGTCTTATAACAAAATATTGATCAAAATGTCCAGAATATAATCCAAAATTACAGGTCATTGGAAGAACCATGAGATTTTCAAGTTGCATAGGAAAAGACAATCAACAGAAGGCAATGTTGAGATGACACAGGTGTTGGGAATATCTGACAAATACTTTAAAGCAGCTGTTACAAAAATGCTCAAAATGCCACATGAATAAAGAAATAGTCATTTAACAACCGAGGTCAGCTTTTCCTCATTTTGAATCTATTTCTTTCTAAATTAATTACTACTTTTATCATGAAAATAACAAATAAACAAAAAAACTAATAAGTCTCTTGAACTATGGCATCTCCTTTTTCCCTAACTAGGACAAAATCATTTTTTTCACTTACTAAATCATCATATAAAGCCTCAATACAAGTGTTTTTAAAATATCTAGCTTCAAATATATATACACATCCATACATATATATGTATACATACATACACATATGTCTGTGCATATGTACATATATCTGTATATTGTATTATATTTACATATTTACATCATATATATTTATGTAATATATACTATATAAATATAAGATATATATTTCTTTTCACAGTGCATCCAGTGTAACATAATTCCATTTGAATGCCCTACTGAGTTTTTACTTGGACCTCTGTTTAATTTTTTGATTTGTAAATGTCTTTCAATTTCTTTACTTTTTAACGTTGTCTCCCCTATGAACTTCTACAACAGGTTTTCTACCATATTTAACAATGATAATATCCTGTGTCTGTATGACACTTTTTATGCTTCCTTTCACTAAATCATTTTTCTTCTCAAACAAAAAGTAACCTGATCCTACTCTCTTACACCTTTTTCTAATGGTTTCACTCTCCTTACTTTTTAGGACTAGGTATTTAAGTACCTATATATTTTAAACAAATTATAAATGAATTTATGGTCTCTAGTACTGCATCTCTCATCTTTGAAAACTCTTTACATGTTAGCCATTTCCCCTATACGGAGACTAGAGCCCATCACTACCATCACCCACCCACCCCAATTCCCCTACTCACTCCATCAATCCGCCTTCTTACCTGGGTTTGCTAGCATTTGAGTTGGTTCAATGTCTTTCTCCATATTTTTAGTATCATGCATTTTGCCTCTAGTTTGAATTAATGATCTAAACCACAGTCTCTAAGTTACTTGTCAAACAATTTTGTAGAAAGATTAAAAATAAAGACAAGAACAAAAACTGACAATGCATCTGGTTAATTCTTTCTCAATAACTGAAGCCCTCAAGCTTTTAAATAAAATGTGATCAACCGTAAAAGACGCCTTGAAACATAAATTTTTTCAGAATACCACATCCTGCCAAGAAAAAAAGACTACTTTTTATGTTTAACCATTAGCGTCACCCAAAGACTCTTGTAAGAATTAGTGGAAGTAAGTTCTATCTACTTCAGCAATGGTACTGTGGTTGCCACAGAAACTGATTCTGGCTAACTTAAGCTACGAAAATAAGAATTTAAAGGAGTGGCACTATCAATCTCTGATAAAATAGACTTTAAACCAAAATACACCATAAAGGATAAGGAAGGACACTATATAATGGTTAAAGGGTCAATACACAAGGAGGACACAACCATAATAAATATATTCTCACCCAATGACAGGCTCCAAAATATATAAAATAAACCCAAATAGTATTGAAAAGAGAAATAGACAGTTGCAGAATAATAGTAGCAGACTTCAACATATCATGTGTCACTCTATATTTCCTTAATTGCTGATCTTTAAAATTTCCATTCCTGTTTTTGGTGCTTTAATTTTCTGTTCTGCATCTTGCTTTTTGAGATAGACACTTCATTTACAGATTTTCATCCCTTTTTCTTTACTAATAAGTGCATTTAAGGTTATAAAGTTCCCTTATCGTTGTTGTTAGGTGCCATCAAGTCGGTTCCAACTTACAGTGACCCTATGCACAACAGAACAAAACACTGCCCGGCCCTGCGCCACCCTCAAAATCATTGCTGTTTGAGCCCATTGTTGCAGCCACAGGGTCAGTTCATCACATTGAGGATCTTGCTCTTCTTCTCTGATCCTCTATTTACTATGCATGATGTCCTTCTCCAAGGACTAGTCCTCCTGACAACATGTCCAAAGTGTGTAAGACAAAATTTTGCCATCCTTGTTTCTAAGGAGCATTCTGGCTGTACTTCCTCCTATATCGATTTGGTTGTTCTTCTGGCAGTCCGTGGTATATTCAATATTCCTCACCAACACCATAATTCAAAGGCATCAAGTCTTCTTCCATCTTCCTTATTCATTGTCCAGCCTTCACATGCATATGAGGTGATTGAAAATTCCACGACTTAGATCAGGCTCACTTCAGTCCTCAAAGTGACATCTTTGCATTTTAAGAATCTAAAGAGGTCGTTTGCAGCGGATTTACCCAGTACAATACAATACTTCATTTGATTTCTCTTTTTTTTTTTTATTGTTATGCTGTAAGTGAAAGTTTACAATTCAAGTTAGTCTCCCATACAAAAATTTATACATACATTGTTATGAGACCCTAATTGCTCACCCCATTCTGCTACAGCACACTCCTCCTTCCCGCCCCTGATTCCCCATGTTCATTCAGCCAGGTCCTGACCCCCTCTGCCTTCCCATCTCACCTCTGGACAGGGCTGCCCATTTAGTCTCATATATCTACTTGAGCTAAGAAGCATACTCTTCACGAGTATCATTATATGTCCCATAGTCCAGTCTAATCTTTGTCTGAAGAGTTGGACTTGGGAATGGTTTTAGTTTTGAGCTAACAGAGAGTCTGGGGGCCATATCTTCCGAGGTCCCTCCAGTCTCAATCAAACTATTAAGTCTGGTCTTTTTAATAGAATTTCAGTTCCACACCCCACTTTTTTCCTGCTCCGTCAGGAACTCTCTGTTGTGTTCCCTGTCAGTGCAGTCGTTGGTGATAGCAGGGCACCATCTCCTTTTTCTGGTCTCAGGCTGATGGAGTCTTTGGTTTATGTGGCCCTTTCTATCTCTTGGGCTAATACTTACTTTCCTTGTATCTATCGTGTTCTTCATTCTCCTTTACTCCAGTGGGTTGGGACCAATTGATGCATCTTAGATGGCTGCTCGCTAGCTTTTAACACCCCAGACACCACTCAGCAAAGTGGGATGCAGAACATTTTCTTAATAAACTTTGTTATGCAAATTGACCTAGAAGTCCCCTGAAACCATGGTCCCCAGAACCCTACCCCTGCTACTCTGTCCCTCGAAGTGCTTGGTTGTATTCAGAAAACTTCTTAGCTTTGGATTAGTCCAGTTGTGCTGACTTCCCCTGTAGTCTATGCTGTCCTTCCCTTCATCTGAGACAATTCTTGTCTACTGTCTAGTTAGTGAATACCCCCTCCACCCTTGTAACTATCGGAGAATGTTTTCTTCTGTATTTAAACCTATTTTTGAGTTCTTATAATACTGGTCTTATTTAATATTTGTCCTTTTGCGAATGACTAAATTCACTCAGGATAATGCCTTCCAGATCCCTCCATGTTATGAGATGTTTCAGAGATTCATCGTTGCTCTTTATCATTGCATACTATTCCATTGTGTGAATATACCATAATTTGTTTATCCATGCGTCCATTGATGGGCTCCTAGGTTGTTTCCATCTTTTTGCTATCGTGAACAGTGCTGCAATGAACATAGTTGTGCATATATCTAATCGTGTGACAGCTCTTATTTCTCTAGGATATATTCCAAGGAGTGGGATTGCTGAATCATATGGTACTTCTATTTCTAGCTTTTTAAGGATGCGCCAAATCAATTTCCAAAGTGGTTGTACCGTTCTACCTTCCCATGAACAGTGTGTAAGTGTTCCAGTCTCTCCACAACCTCTCAACATTTATTATTTTCTGTTTTTTGGATTAATGCTAGCCTTGTTGGGGTGAAATGGTATCTCGTTGTAGTTTTGAATTGCATTTCTCTAAAGGCTAATGATCGTTAGCATTTCTTCATGTGTCTGTTACCCACCTGTGATGGTTAAGATTGTGTGTCAGCTTGGCTGGTGTCACAGCGGTGATGGTTGTCGGGATGGCGGAGACAGTAACCAAACACAACTCTTACAGAAAAGGTGGGCCAGGAGGGTCACTCTGAAGAGTTGACCCCAGCTTCAGTCCCAGGAGTTTATTTATAGTCAATACAGCAAGCAGTGAAGCAGATAACGGAACAATGGGCTTTGGGTTTGGGCAAGGGAGAAGGAATTCAGGTAAACAAGCCAATCAGTAAAGAGACAATAGGTTTGGGAAAACAAGTCGTGACAAGTCTCAACATGTTGGGGACAAGTCTGCACATGTTGTGTAGCATAGAGGCCTGTGGGGGCTGCAGTTGTCAATAGTGCAGCCATGTTTAAGTGGCATATATCCCCACAGGCTGGGCCATGATTCTCAGAGTTTTAATGTAATCACTTCCATGATTGAATATACTGTGAGTAGCCAATCAGGTGAAAGGGAGTCTCCTTGGGGATGTGGCCTGTATCTGAATATAGACAGACGTTCTGGCTTTTTGCTGTCTCTGGATCCTGTGGCTGCCTCCTGTCGTCTCATCTCCGGTTCTTGGGACTTGAGCTGTCAGCTTATCTGCCAAACTGGGGATTTGTCGATCTGCACAGCCTGTGGGCGAGATCCCTGCTCTCCAACCTGCCGATCTTGGGCTTGCCAGCTTCTGCAGCTGTGTGACTTGGGAGAGGCTTCTACACTGATCCACAGACTTGGGAAGTTACAGCCTCTACAATTGCATGAGCTGTTTCCTTGATATAAATCTCTCTATATATATACATTTATATACTTTACTGGTTTTTCTTCTCTAGAAAATCCAGCCTAAGACGTTTGGTACCAAGAGTGGGGTGGTTCTAGAGAAACAAAATTGTAAGGATGAGTTTTCTAAATTGGTTCTCAAGTCTGGTTAGTCTTAAAGAAGTTGATGAGTCTGCTTCCAGCAGTAAAGAGGTCACTGCTAGTCCATGGAGCTAGGTGGCAATACAAATATGCAAAATATCACCACTGGTAGATCAGGTATTGGTGAAAGATGAGGCTCGGGGTGAACACATGTGTGATATCTTTCTACAGCTTTGTCAGAATGAGAAGTATAAGGCAGTTTGTTGGTTTGTCCTACTTTTGCTAGACAAACTGGTGAAGGAAAGAGATGCACTCAGGGCTTCAGAGTCAAGGCTCAAGTGCCACATACATGACCTCAAGGCTTCCACTTGTGCTTTGAAAGAAAGCCTTATTTCTTGTAGTAACAGAGCCGAAATTACTGAAAACCAAACCCACAGTCTTGTTGTGACAGTGGCTAAATTACAACGCCAGCTCAATTGAAGACCTCAAGACGTGTCTGAAGTTACAGTAAGGGCACTGATTGGGAAGAGGTGGGATCCTGAGACTTGGGATGGGGACATATGGGCAGATAATCAGGAAGCTGGGGACACTAAGACTGTAAATTCCATTGAATCACTCCTGCCAGCAGAACCAGTCCCATCTGAAGAGATTACTTCATGTTTGTCTGCTAAA